AAACAAAATACAGGTGACAATTTAAAATGTTTATAAATTACTCAAAAGGTATCCCAGTATATTTAAAATTTTATAGTGTTTGGAAGCATTTTGAATGCTTCCATTTGTTTAACATTTATTGCAGATAAAAACTTTTTTTTGGAATCAGGACAGAAAAAACTAACTTTGATTTTCATATAATGAGAAAATATTCCAGGTTATTAATCAACGTTTTAAATTCAAAAACTCAAAAATACTTAAAGTGGGCTAATGCTATTTTATATAAAATTATTACAATGAATACTTATAAGAAACCTTATATTATATTTTAAACATTTTATAAAAAAAAAATGAAAATGTAATAAATGTTATTGAATCATTTTTTCTGTAAGAAAAAAAGTTTTAAGACACAAAAAAATATATCAAATAATCAATGTAACCGTTCAGATTCTAAAACAAATTATTATTATTAGAATGATTAATACATTTTAAGTTGAGTGATACAGAAAGTGTAGACAACAAGACATGCATATTGTGTAGTATGGTTTTAAGTCGATATATATTATTGTTAGTGGTTATAGATAGCAAATTATTGAATAGCTAGGTACTGACTTTGAAAGTTTGAATGCTCTGCTTCGGTTAACAAGGAAATCAAATTTAAATTTTACTAAATGTATGTAAAGGATGCAAATTACATCCCTTTTTGGTATGCGTTAGCAATACAAGTTCCAAGGATGGTAGTCGATTATATTCGTTAACATATCATGTGAAGTCTTACATCAAAGAAAACTATTTAGCTCAACATTTCAAAATTTATTATTGCTAAAGTATTAAAGCGTTTACAGTTTCGTCCAATAAATATAATGATTACAATACAATGTTACATTTCAGCGTAATAATTTTGATTATGTTGGAAATAAAATATGAAAGACAGCAACTGGTTTAATGATTATACTGCTAACGACAGGTAAACTGCTGACATTACAGTGCATAGTAATTGAGAACCTACTACCTATATGCATATCTGAATGGAAAAAATATTATGTATTTATTGAGTTCTGGGTATAAATAAAAATAACACCTCTAAGTTGACATTTTAGATATAAATACCGCTTTTAACAATTAACAAAATCTATAAAATGTATTTATCTATTAGCAAAAACAGAATATCTCACGACTTCCGGGGGAGGGAGGTCACCCCCGTCACCTTCCTCAGGGATGCACCTGGACGTTACTCAGTTAGTATTAAACCATGGACTCAATACTTGAAACTACTCGGAATTCAATTAGTTTTAAAAATTATTATTTGAACTTAGCAGCATAATAGTATATTATAATAATCTATAACTATATTGTTATAATAATTGAAATGATCAGGTCCGTCACGATTGATGAGTGTGTCTGTGTGACACTTAAAATAGAAATCTGGATAAAAAACAAAAGAATTCTGCAAGCTTAAGAACTTAAATAAATGTTTTTTTATTTTATAGTGACTCTGGTTTTTATGTACAACGGTGTAAAATTGGAATTGTTTCTTAAACTTTCGAAGAACTTAATATAGGTAATTGATGCACTGATTTTATTAAGTAATACGCTATTGGAAATTCATCTTACATTAATAATAAGACATTAATAGTCTTGTGGATAGTTCAATGCAATTTACCATGAGTAAATTAGGTATTGATCCAAATAACGACCTATCTAAAGGACAAAGGTAGAGAATGAGTAACCATCTTTATTAGATATTTAGATAGATTGAATTCAAATTCACTTATAATCAATATTTGGTATAAAACTTTTCAAGTAGCTAAAATTATAGACACTCCGACAACATTATCTTAGAAACATTTCAAATAATTAATGCTTACAATTGAAACGGTATTTCATGCGTTTTCAATTCAATTGAAGTTTAGTTATTTTCCGAAAGATTTCAAAAAAAAAAAAAAAACAATCAAACTATTTTCTGCAGGAAGAGTGTTGTCCGAAATAACTGACTAGTTTATCATTTAAAAAGTAGGTCAAATGGATTCTCTATTGGATATCACATTCAAAACATTAGAATCTTTTTTATACCTACATCTTACTAAATCTGATCATGATGCAACGGTTGGTATATACTGGAGCTATACTTGGTATAGCTCCTGGTAAAGTAACAGACGACAGGACATTCAGACACTGAAATATGTAGTGTTAATAATTATTAAAAACCTACAAAATGTGTTAGTCACTTACAAAATTTAACTTTGCTGAACTTTAATATAAAAATCTTCATTAAAATTATACAGAAATGCTAATCTAAAAATGGTTGATTATAAGAGAGAAAAATATTTACATAAAAATTGAATAATATATTTCACATGTAATTACTTTCTGATTGTAAATAATTTTATTTTTTATTATTTATTAGAGAAAACCTATTAATTATTATACCTATTTAAGTTTAATTTTAACTTTAATTATTAAATAATTAATTCATACATTTTTAAAATTTATTAGTTATGAAAAATTATATTTTATTGTTCCTCGAAGTCATACAATTGACCTTCAGACCCCCCTTTCAATACCACCATATAGTTCACTCAATGAGTGAATTGACATTTTCTCTAGGTAACTGAAAAGTAAGAAAATTACCTATTTGTTGGTTTCGATTTAGATATTTTGGTTGAAAATGTAGATATAAAAAAACAAAACTGCGAAATAAGTAGACAATTTACTTACCTTAAGTCTGATGATAAGTCAAAAAATAAAACTTATAACACGAAATCGGAACAACAGAACAAAAAATTGCCTTCATTGTGCGTTTATAAAACGGAGAGTGGAGACAACTTTTGCAGGTATTCTTAAACAACATATTATAATTGATAAAATATCATGTGCTAACTGTGGTATTTTATAAGTATATGTTTCATATTTAAAAACAAATTTCACGATGTGATATCGATTCAATTTTTAGTTAGACAGTCCCATTGCTAGGCATATTAGATGTATACATAGTTATTATTTAATCTATTACAATTTACAAATGGGACTGCCATAATTAGGCATATTAGATTTATACACAGTTATCATTTAATGTATTGAAATTTAAAATATGATAAAAATATGTTTATAAAATCATTATAATTGTTAATAGTGTCGCGACTATGCTGCGTACTCTGCGGACGTGTTAAAATATTTGTTTTTTATTAATGGTGAAATACCGCATTACACCAATCGACCGGTCTCGTATAAAAGTATTTTATTGTCCATGGCTGGCAATAGTCGCTGAATTTTAACATGGTATGCCCTTAGCTGTAAAAACACAATAAATATTAAATTCACTGTCCAAACTAATTTAAACATTATAATATTATAATTATTCCGTGTGGAAATAACTCAATTAATGTTAGTTTACTGAATCCTATAAACACACCAGGTTTGTGATCGACGCTACTGATTTTATGATAATATGAAATATTGGTAGTTTATTATTATGTTAATACTTGATGTGGTGCCTAAATCAACACACTTTAAATGAGTTTAAAACCAACATTTGAAAATTTTAATTTTTTGAAAAGTATCTAACAACTGGGTAATTTTGGCGACGAAATTAACTTAACACACAATTAATCGGATGTGACAATAAAAAATGTGTAAATTTCAATTTTTTTTTTTTAAATTAATATATGTATATTTTATATTATAAGCGCATAGAAAATTTAGATGTTGTGCCTTTATAGATTTCATAATAAGTATATAAAAAACACTTCTCATCCCATATTAAAATATTTATTACAACTGTTTCATAACAACATAAATTCTACACGAATTTACTTTGAGATGAATTATTTAAAGTAATAAGCAATGACTTTATTTTTATTAAATCATCAACAGTATAAGAATATTTCTGAATATTTAATGTTTTGTAATTCGTATTAGTTTAATAGCTCTGTAATATGTTTCACTAAGGGCAACATACGAACATTTCATAACATTTTACAACCAAAAGTTCATACAGTTTTTGATTGAAATACCTACAACTGAAAATGTAATACAAATTGTTCACGAGTTGTTCTTTCGGCAATTTAAAAATATTTAGTATAAATAGGCGCTACTTTTTTCTCGTAATTTTAAGTTCAAATTTCAACAAAATTTCATATTTAAACGAAACATTTTAGTTATTTTGTTATTCTTAATATACTGCATAAATAAAGATAATAAAAATATTATGTTGTCATAATATCTTTGAAATATTCTACTCAAACTTAGGTGTATTATCATTTCTTGCACAATTAAGTGTTCAAAATATGATTTCAACTAATTTTAAGCTATTTACACAGCATTTTATGGTAAATACTATGTCGATATTCAATCATAAATTAATAACAATAATATGATATCTATCATAATAGTACAATAAACCATGCAATATTTTTTAAAATGATTGGATCAACTTATTATTGACTATTGGCTAACATTGATAGAAAAATAGTGGGACAAAGTGGCTGAGTGGACTAAGGCGTCGGTTGCGACTTGCACCGTCGCCGGTTCGAAACCCGGCCACGGGCAGAACTTCTCTCAGGACAGTCACGGTGTCTGGACAGAGAGGCCGCTATCCCTCACTCTGGCATGGCAGATACCTACGGGTGCCCCCTGGAAAATTGTGCCAAACTAACAAACACACGTGTTTAAACCTACAGTATCATCCCCACAGTAAAAAAACCAACCCAATGGCCTAAGCTTCAGATGGTTAATTAATTATAAAAACAAAAAAAAAATTAAAAAATGAATTACCAACAGCAATATAAATAAATAATAAACTATTCTTATATATTATATAGTATAGGTATAGGTTGACAGATTCTCCTCTCAGAACTGTTTTACGTATTGAATTCAAATGCAACACATTACAGGGACTTACTTAATGATGATGTACACTCGAAACCTTCTATACAGCAGAGCGAGTTCCCTGTTTTTTTTTAATAACACCATATTATGTATAGTGAAAAATACCTGAAACGCATTTATTTATCTATTTGCAGGACAAGGAGCGTTGACAATTGTCCGCCGAAGCAGTCAAAAGAAGAGCACATATTCGGAAGAATATAGTATGGCCCTGTCGAGAGAGAACGAATCAATGTTGGACGATGTAGACCTTAGCCTCGAAGCAATGCCTTCATTTGATTCGTCAGAAGCTGTTGATAAGGCAGCACTCAGGTAATCATCACTCGAGAATTAATCATTTAATTGTCAATATCTGTGTTACGGGCAATGACATTATTTAACGATCGTATAATGTTTGGAGTTGTTTTCGTATAGAATGACATATTTCTAAGAATGATAATATAATTTAGGAATGGTATTGTACAGGGTGCTTGGACTGATTATGTTTACTGAAAATACGAATTAGAATGGTATAAAAATATATGTAAAATAAATGTCAAGAATCATAATATCAGTTAGGAATAATGTTAATTTATTAGTTGATATTACTACTGAGGTAACACTTTGGGACTGATAAAAATAGATAATATAAGTATATTTTAGTACCGGAAAATACTGTCCTGTGTAATATTGTCCCATAGGTACCAGAATACCCACCCTGATAAATAAGATTCATATTTAATTTTGTTCCCGATTTTCGAAGTCCTAAATAATATTACCCTAGGTAATTAATACTGTTCCTGACTGAGTTCTGGAAATTTATTTTACTGCTTTATATCATCCAAGTTCTTACGATTCCTGTAAATAACATTACAAGAAATACTATTCCCGCACTATAGTACCCTTATTCCTGTATTCTAACATTATTTGGAAATCATTCCAAACAAACATTTTCCAGAAAAATACTGATCCCTTTAAATAATTTTCTGGTTTATCAATCCGACAAATGTACATTCATAGTTTTCATATCATTTAATAGGCTATCAAACAATTCAGCACGTTAAGTTTTTTAAGCTGAACCTTTAAGAGGACGCACCCGCATTTGTTGTCTCCGTCTTACAAACGTACAACATAGCAAAAACTGTTTTGAGAGGGACAACTTTTCTCGCACCATATTTGCTGTACAACTACCAAATTTTCACAACAAGTAAAGAAGAACTTTATCTGTGCAACAGAGTGCTCTTTTTTTAATAGAGCCATCCAATCATTTTTTATAAGCAAATGAAAAAACAAAATGTTTGGAAGCAAATTACTTTTATTGTACTTATGTTATCTTAAATATGGGCAGGCTGTTGCACAGATAAAGTTCTTCTTTGCGTGTTGTGAAAATTTGGTAGTTCTTCAACAAATATGGTGCGATAACAGTTGTTGCTATGTTGTACAATTGTTAGACGGAGACAACACATGCGGGTGTGGCGTCCTCTTAAGTGTGACGAAAAAAAAAATTAATGATACGTCACTGTTGAAGTAAGTAGTTAAAATATAAATGTATGTAAAATAATTACATATAAATGAAAAATGCGGTAAAAATGTTTAAAATCATAAATTATAATAATATTATAATCTCATAAAAATAAATATGGCTATATACATAATGAGTTAAGAAATGGTAAGTAAAAAAAGTTATCTTTATTTAATTTCCTGGATAACGTTAGCCAACGTGGTATAAATAATATATTATTAATAATTTAATATATATAAACTAAATTCTTTAATCTTAACTATTTTGTATATTAATTTTTTCTGTAACTCTGTTATTTTACCTTGTTTTAACGTAGCTTATTAATCTAAAAACTCATCTTTGACTTCTTCATGATATAAAAATGGTAGACCGAAAAACGACTTATGCCACTTTCCTAGATCATCGACTTTTTATTTTTCATTTTGAAGTTGTTTATTATCGACAGCAGTACTGTAGTAGAAAAAAAATACTAATTATAGAAAAGTTGGAAAAAATTATATAAATTGAGTTTCAAAGCTTTTTTCGAGCATAGTATTTTCTACATTGACTGTATGCAAAAAAAAAAAATGTTATCTAATAAAATGTCCAATTTTAAAGAGTTGAACAATATTTCTTGTTAATTCAATATACATATTTACTGGCGTTGTTTGCTTCACATTTTAAGTAATAAACAACTATTTTTTTGATTGTGTTATGAAATTCCAAATCCACATACCCATATTAAACTCTCAATATTATCTATTTAATTATCACCGTGTAAAGATTATTTAATCTACAAAATTATTATGGCTTAGCGGCTTATCAAAATAATTTGAGTACTCATAAATTTAATGACGGGTAAATCGGTTTTAAGATATTGTAATTTTATTTGTAATTTAAGATATTATCGTACAATTCATTATAACAAGCATACGTGACATCTTGTGAGTTATTAGTTATACTTGTGCAGTGCAGTCGTGTATAATATTATAGTTTTCTGTAAGAATGTGTGCAGTGTTTAAATATTAAATACAAATTGAAGAGCAATATACTTTTAAAAAGTGTATAGAAAAAAAACATGTAATTAGTACATATTGTTTAAATACAACTAAGTATTATAAATTAGTATAAAATAAATCGAATTAGAATTGCAGATTACATTGCAGTCCGAGTCTTACGGAAAAATTCTTTATAGTTCTGGTAGTGTTAGAGATCATAATGAATAATAGAAAATATACAGCTTCAGTATAATAAAGTAATTTAATTTAATTCTATTAAAATAGGTGGACGTTTATTTTCTCAAATATTTTTAACACTTTTATAATTTTTTTTTTTTACACAACATTTTTACTAAACAATAATTTCTGGAAAAAAAAATGTTTTAAAAATTATTTAAAAAAGTAAAAAACTTAAAAAATTATATCGGTATAAACTAGTTATCAATAAAAAGGTTTTCTAAATGTATTATGTAAAACAACATATTATTTCCAAAGATATTAATATAATTTGTTTTTTAGAAAATCAGTGTTTAACTTTAAAATAATCAATTTGTATTCATTTCGGTATTAGGCACCATTAACCATAATTGCAATGCTTCAGTTAATTTTAACGGTAATCGATGAATCTGATTGCTGATAACTATTATTTTAATTACGGTGTAGTGTTCACGGTGACTCAAAAATATTGTTCTTATTTAAACTCCATGAAAAATTGTATTTATTTATTTCTTACTACGCTGAAAAATAAATCAATCGTTATTACTTTTATACTTTGGAAGTAATTTTATATTGCAGAAATTATTTACTTACAGTATGAAGACCATGATTTTCTTGCTCTTAGGCGTACTTTAAAGAACGAAATTTTGTTTAAACTATATTATCTGGCTTGATTTGTTAAGCGTCATTCAAGTGGTCCAATATTTAAGTGTTCTGTTATTCTATAAAATAATATCATATATACTTGACTCGCCCTTGACGTATTTGTAGTCTTACAGATATTGTTAGGTATTATTTTTTTTCAATTTTTTCTGAACTTTGATATTATATTTAATTACGTGACGTTCGCATGTGAATGTGAAGTGAAACAAAATATTTTATCAATATTATTCTCTATGATTATAATTTTTTTATATGATTTGTTGTTAAAAAAATCTGTAAAACTTTCTATCCATCACCAGCATCCATTAACGTGAGTTCTAACTGAAGGTAAACGATAAAAAGACCTTTCCCCCCTCTAACCTAACCTTTGACTGCACAAAGAACACTTCAAACTATAAGCTCACCATTAACTAGGGTTCATGGGTAAAATCTACCTTTAACTCCAACCAAAATACCACAAAGAGTGAAGATATATTTTTGGACATGCTATATTAATAATAAGCCTATAAAAGTTCTTTGGCCATAAAAATTCATTTTCCTCAACTTTCTGTAATAATGTTCAGTTAATAATTCATTGGTACCTAATTATAAAAATGTATTTTAATATTTTATAAGATAGTGCACAGTAATATGAAGTAAAGAAATAATGATTTAACGGAGCTAAAAAAATTTTAACTGAGAAACATAAAATGTGTTTTAAAACGAAATATAAATTAAAACAATTTTCAACCTTATTTTAAAATAAATCTAGCCATGCGTTAATAGATTGTGTCATTATATTTTTATTTACTCAAATTTTAAATATTATTCTGTTAACATTTCAGATTGCGTTGTCTGCTGCGCCACTTGAGAAAGGGAGAGATATCGGCCGAAGTGTTACACAAAAATCTATTTTTTGCTGCTAAAGTATTGGAGTCTGCATTTTTGGACGAAGAACAAATGTAAGAATTGAATACAATAATAGTATATAATTTACAGCATGTCGGTAAAATTCAATATTATTTTAAACTGCATGTGCATGTTTGTGTACCCACGAGAACATGAACAAATGATAATCGAATCGACGGTAAGCTCAGTAAATGTTATGCACCATCATCGATTATCACATTATTTTTGTTATAAAATTTAACATCGTTTCGTTTAATATTCACATAAGTTATAATTTTTTTTATTTTACCATTATTCTGTTTTATTTGTTCCTGTTTTGTGATCAACAAGCTGCTAACGGTTAGACAGTTATACGACGTACTGTATTAACAATTTATGCACGTCGTTTATGACATTTAACCATTGCTACATATCAAAACCACATTAAACAAATCAAATAATTTTATGATCCAATAATAAGCCTCATAAAATGCATCATGGACTAAAACGAAGTCTTGTGCTCGGTGAAATAACAAAAAGTCATAATAGGCCTATTTACCTTAAACATTTTTTGAGCCGCAATTTGAATAACAATCGTATAAACACGCACGTACGCTAAAATATTAACTGAAAATACTATTTAGAAAAATATATAAGACAATATTTCAAGAAGAATAAAAGGCAACGTTTTCCATAATACACCATATTTATATAACACAATATGCACTTATTGTACGTATACAAAAATATAAAAATATATAACATAAGTCTCCGTTCAGATAATAATAAAATGTTTATTTATTCAATGTATTATAATATTATATTATTATCTATCAGTTGTCTCGTCTGTATTATTTCCTGATATAAGTACGTAATATACAATTACATTTTAAAACAATGTTTTATAAACTTGTAACCTTTAAACAGTTTTCTACATTTCAATCGGTTGAATATTATGTTTATTAATTTAAATAATATATTGTTTACCCAAAATAACCCAAATAATGTCAATGTGTTATAATAAGTGCTCATCGACTCCTTTCAGCAAATAATAATTATGATTTAATATACATAAATAATACTATACCAATTAGCATTACCTTAACCTTTTAATATATTATTAATACTCTTAACCTATTCATATGGAAAACTTTTTGAAAATGTGGTTTTGATGAGTAGTCAACAGATTCCTGTTCTCTAGAATGTCACTTTTAAGGACTATTGTAGCTGAGTTTGGTTTTTTTCATATGTTCCGTTTGCACTTAGTTCATTAACTAATAAACCAATTTTCAGGGGCAATTTCAATTTTCAATATGATATATGATTGAATATTTTCTTTCATTTTTAATATAACATACATATCAAGTGCCATTAACCTTGTAGTTGAAACATAATTTATACTTAATATTTGCATAAAACTCAAAGTTGGGCACAAGTTAACCATTTTGTTAAGCTAGTTAAATCTTATTCTTTCTAATAAAAGTTAATTAATTCAAGTGGGAGTTATTTTAAAATATAAATGAATTTGAGTTGCTAAATTATATAAGTTACACATTTTTAGGGAAATATTAACTGAGTTTAGTTAAAAGTTAAAACTTACCTTTTTTAAATTACTCACCCTCTTATTTAGAACTAATTGGACAACGGTTGAATTTCTATACAGTACTAAATAGCAGACTAAATGAGCAGACACCGGCTATTTGTTAACCACATATAATATTTTATATACCTAGGAAAAAATTAAATAAATAATTGATAAATATTACAAGAATAATTTATGAAAAGTTAATAATAATGTTTTTTTAAGTTGTAGTCAGCGGTAGTCTCTCTTCTCCTGCTTATCAGATGCCCACTATATATTTCTCTAAGTGAGTAATTGGACATTGGTATTTCCCTACACATGTATAAGACATATGTTAATCATACTTGTTAAATCATCAAGTACAGTTAAAACTATATTTTATAATCAGAAGTAGGTAGGTAAATAATTCACCACTAGTTATTTTAAAACATTTTCCACTATTTAACTAGTTAAGTTGAAATGTATTGAAAATAGCAACTTATAACTTCCAACTTGTTAACTAGTTACTGCCTAGCTTTGATGAACATTTGTGATGTATGCTCTTTTGTCCACTATTCAATAATAACAATAATAATAATATGTTAATATCTCGTATGCACGACATACGTGTAGCAATATTGCATACCTAACGCGCCGTTTCATTTTGAAACAATTTCACATTGACATTCGTAAATAGAATGTACTATAATTATTTACTGCTCAATCAAAACGACGTATCATAATACGACTTTTGCGATTTTCGATTTCTAAACGACAACTGAATAATATTTTGACATTAAAACTATAAAATTATCATTAACACATCTCAAACATTATAATACCTATATTTCAGGTTTATATTTCTTAGTCTCATGCTAAAGATTATCTTCATCGTTAATGCAACCTCATCGTTTCTTTCACCTCTCACTTAATGCAAATATTATCTAAAATTCACGCGTATATATTGTATAATAAATTCATCATATTATATGAATCATAATTTTGTCGTTATTCAACTATCATTTTGATGTAATCTACCAAGACCTCACTGACAAAAAAATACGCTTTATTCAGCATAATACATTTCATTTTACTTATACTATAAAAAATAAATTTACGGCTATTTTTTTTAAAGTTTATAAATGTTGAGTAATTAATTTCTACGGATTAGGAAAAAAAAGTAAGAACCTTCGCATGAAATACTTGAAAGCTTAATCTAAATGTGTCTTCTCTGTTTTTTTTTTTTTGTTCGCACCACAACTGAGTTACTAGTCTAAACGTTTTATTATACACAATTTATATCACTTAAATTCCAATTGACTTAGGAATGTTCAAAGAAATTACTCGGAATATTAAATTAACCAATTATTATAAATTATAATTGCCATATAAAAATAAAGGTAAGACAATATTATTTGTTTTAAAAACAATATGTATTCAAGCTAACAAAATTTTTATACAGTTCATTATATTTACTTTTTTTTTATATATATTTTTGGTATTTATTTAAATCGATCAACTCTGGTCACTTTAAGAATACCACTCTTTTAATCATTCGAGCTTAAAAATAATTTATACACATTTTTCTATTTATGTTCCTGTATAATGATTTAAATTATACAGTGATCAGTATTCATCGAAAACGTTTATAAATAAGATTTATACAACTATCTTTTATTATTTTTATTCTATGATATAGTATTCTATAAGTTTTCAACATAATAAATTAAATAACTATAAGATATTTATGGTAGAATGAACTCAATTTTCAAATAAAAAAAATAATATATTAAGATACGTTTTCAATCAATACTCAATGTTTAATTTTTTGTCCAATGTAAAAAAAACAATGTTTCATTACAACGTGTCTACATAAGTTGCAATAAATTATTCTAATTTGCAAATATATTATTTGTAAATTTAAGTAAAATTTAATTTTTTAATACTTAAATTAATCTAATGCTAAGTTAAATTATAATGTGTAACAAACATATTTTTTTTAAACCGTGTCAACTTGATTTAAATGTTTAAATAACAAACCTTAAAATTGTTGTGTTCTAAATAATTTTCAAAAGCTATAAGTTATAATAATTACAATAAGTGACCATTTACTTATGTAGACAATTCGTCCATCCATAAAAACAGTCTAATTATATATATTTTTTTAGTAATTTGCATCCGTCTGTTTTTTATGACCTCCAAATTTTAGTACAATAACGTTTCCGTTCCCAAATAACCTGACAAAATGTCCAAAATCTTAACTCGTTGTGTTGGTCCACGACTATCATCGTCTTTCTACTCCATTGTGTATGACGCGTATGACGGCGTGAGTCTATTATAACAGGATATAAAAACTACTGTTTGTCACCGTCGAAAATTTAATAAAAATTGAATCGTATTCGATATCGCCATATCGGATAACTGTCGGATGACTGGCAACTAACACTTTTCAAATACATTTCACCGAGCTCGGCGGAGGTTTTTACCCGACCATTCATAATATTGCACAAAACGACAGAACAATAAAGTATTATTACACCGGAATCTAATAAATAGCTCATAAAAATTATAAAGATTATAAAAAATATAATATAATATAATACAAAAACAAAAAATAATGTTTAAGAAAAATGTAATCAAGGATAACAAAGCATACAAACCAGGTGAAAAGTAAATGTAGGTTCCTATATATTATAATGTTGATCTTGGTGTAATTAAAAGTTTACTAAACTAAAATAATAATTTTTTAAAAGACATGTAGAACAAGAAAATTATACCTGACATTTAGATATTGATGTCTACATTGAATCTACTCAAAAACAAAATGTGTTCACTAATCCTAATTGAAATCGCTCTTCCAAAATTACTCAATCTTAATACTATATAGTTCTGAGTAAAATACAATAATAATATTATCATGTGTGTACTATTTTTGTGTGTTTGTTGTTTTTGTTTATTACCATAACGATCAGTAGTTGCGATATGAAAAACAGCCAAGAGGAACTGGAGGAAATTTCGAAGACACCAGAACCATCAACTTCATCGGCGGCTGCAATTACATCTCCAGTTGTCCGACAAAAACGTCTCCGCGCACCCATTTGGGCAAGGTTGTTGAACATCATATAATCATTATTTACTTTAAACTATATTTTGTGTGACTTTTGCTAGATGTATTCAGTGCGTGCATGTTAAACAGCGTTTTCTAATATATGCTGATGAGTTTTTATTCGTCAGCATCACTTTGATGTCCGCATGTGATTTGTATTGTAGTCTCCAATGGTTAGAGATATTTCGTTAATGTACATTTTATTAATAATATTATATTTTATTAATTGTGTATAATAATATGCTTGATATTTACCAGTACACTAATTCATCTTAGAACAATTTAAGAAACGATTCTTGGTTCCAGGGATAGGTATTATAAGAATAATAAGAAAATATACGAATCGATACGAATGTTATTATGACGCAATATTATAATATATACCTACCTACGTGTGAAACGGATTCTAATCATTAAAACATGTTTTCACTTAGTACACTGTTGTAGTGTTGTTACTTGTTTCGAACGATATAGATTTCCACTCATAGCGATGAATTATTAAACGCCATGCGCTATCTCGGAAATAAGAATTTCGAAAAATGATTTTTGGTACAATATCTGAGTTTAAATTATTAATTTTCTTGCCAAACAATTTTATAAATATATCATTAACACGTATGAACTTGAGTATGAATGAAATAATTGTTTTATTTAACTACTTTACAGAATATAAATGAATAATAGTTTTTGGGGTACCATCAATCGGCATCAACGTTACACATTACACACTTCTTCATAAAATTGTATTCCAACGTTGTAATTTGTAATTTCAAAGGGATAAAAATGATTTTGTTCCGTATCTGGATAGAATTTTGATATTAATAATATATTAATACAAACAATAGTTTATACAGGTAAAAGGTGTCAAAATTAAATAGTTTAAACAAAATAAAATTGTCCAGTCAATTAATAATATAATTCAGTTTCATTACAAAAATAATACATTTTTAACAATAGGTACCTAGCTGATTTTGAATAGACTTTCGAATATGATACTTTGATATAACACCAAAAATCGTGGCAATAACAATATAAATTACGAATTAAAAATAGGTGCATAATATTTTCGTTTATCATTATAATATTACCGAAGAAGACATAAACAAAAGTTACAACAATAACCTGAGCTATTAGTTTCCGTGTGAAGTGTAATGTACACTTTGAAATGTATAAGTTACATTGTATACATAAATCAGTTGAAAGTTTGTAATTAAATAATCAACTCAAAATTATCCCATACAAGTAATCCGATCGCCCACCATTAAAAATTATGATTTTTATAAAAAAAATAATTGTTAGCACCAGTTTGTGTTTGAATCCCGACCGGGTAACACTTGTGTAGTCTTATCGTGCCTATTACCTTGGTATTTAATCTTCCGATAGAAGTAACAACCTACAAGTCTTATCATCTTAGTTGGTAACGTGATTATCTCATATTTTATTACATTAGTATTGCATATTAAGAATAAAAAAATAATAGTCATTTTTTATGAGTGGCTCCGTCCTAACCGCCTTAAAAATATTTGTATGAATATTATTATTGGCCAAAAGACTTATCAAACTCGTGGACTCTAAACACTCAAATCACACATTAAAAGAACACATTAATTCAAAGCATTTCACATAAAGGTTCCATGTCCTATTTTCAAAAATGAACATAGCTTAAGTCACATATTATATTTTGTTCTATATGATATTAAACAAAGAGCATAATGAATTATAATTTGTTACCCATTATATTATAATAATTATGTAGAACCATAGAAATATTCAAAATATACGAAGAACTTTTGAAATTTTTTTTTTATTATTATTATTGGTCTAGAGCAGGGGTGTCCAACCTTTTGTGAAGACTGGGTCATCATATGGGTAGAAGTTGTTGTCGGTCTCATACTTTTTAATAATAATACATTAAAATTGAATGATTAAATTAATATATTATATAATATATTTATATTATTTTTATAATTTTACTATAGCGAATAATAGGCAGAAATATTTTTGTTGATAAATGACACGGAATATTTCTATCGGAGCCAATAAAGATAAAATGCTAATAAATTTTTTTTCTTAATATTAATTTATTATATACAATTAATTAATTTTTTTAAAATTGAAGTGACGGCTGCATCAAAATTTACCACGGGCCACGGGTTGGACACTCCTGGTCTAGAGCTTGACAACTATGGCCATTAGCTACTGTTGAGGTTACAGTTGTAACTGTACACTTGGGCCATTCGGTGATTTTTTTCAGTTGTGGGGAGGGTACTGTAGGTTTTTGGTGAACACGTGTGTTTGGTTTTGGCGGAATTTCAAATTGGGCACCCGTAGGTTTCTGCCATGTGCTGTTAGGTACGCGTAAAACTAGTGGTACGTGGAAAGATCAAAGGTGGTACACTAAGAACATCTCCCTTAGTAAAAAAAAAATGAAATGGATCATTAGAAATTCATAATAGAAATTATTTGGTATATTTGATATATTTTTAATAATAATATAAATAATAATTTTACATATTAAGTTTTCTTTTTATGCATTAAATGCTTATATTATTATCATCATTTTTCAGTTCCTAATAAAATAAAATTTCGTATACATGTAAAATAACATTTTTGATAAGCAAATAAAACATTATTTGGTCAAGTGATACATGAAAATTTTAAAACGGTATCTCGTAAAGTGGTACGCGGATATAAAAGGTTGAGAACCGCTGCTCTACACAGTTGTTGCCCAGAGGAGCCGCCCGTGGTCGAGATTCGAACCGGCGATGGTACGCGTCGGAACAGACGAAGTAGTCCGATCAGCCACCTCTTTTTTGATAAATTATACCTGATGTATTAAATTTAATATAAAATAGTTTCACCTTTTCCCCCCACCCCTACCTCGTGAGTACAGATTAAAAACGGCCATTGGCTAAACTCAAAAATATTATTAACTAAGCACTTCAACCCCGATAAATAGTTACGTATGCTAATTACATCTCCAATAACTAAGATTCTAAAAGCTAATAATTTGAACTTAATAAGTTCTAACCACACATTTTGACAAATAACAAGTTTTCACAGAGACAAATTATAAATACTGACGATATACCTACTAAAATCTATTCGGATCGATAACAGTTTCATATTATAAAAAGTTTTGTTTATTGGACTGGCAACGACCCAACAGCAACTTCTTTTCTGGCTATACCTATGATATTTCTCGTGGGAAAATAAAACATTATTTCTTTTTTTGAGAGTGTAAAAATCGAAAAAGTAACAACCACACACAATCAATAAACAATAAACACTCAGTGTGAGGCGATAATCACTCAGAAATAATATAATATAAGACACAATATAACTTTTAATGTCCAACCCTGAAGGAAAAAAAGTATCTGCACCATAATCGTCTGGACCTACCAGCTTCCATCGTGCAAATATAGGTAAAAAAATAATAGTCATATTCTCATAGTTGAGTAGTATTCCGAAGACGGTGTTCACAATAAATATGTACAGTGTTATTTAAAACTGTATTCTCATTACATGTTCAAAGCATTCCAAACACGTTTACATTTCATATATAATCTTTTAAATAAATATTTATCTACTAAAAACGTATTTTACATAGACAAGACTTTTTTTATAAAGTTCAAATGTTGACCAAATTTATCAAATCGAAAACTTATAAATTCTTTTCTTGTTAAAAACGTTAAAAATTTCAAGCTAATAGGATTGAAAAATTAAAACAAGTTTCTACTTAAGATGTTGTAACCAAAAATTATAAGAAATTATATAAACACAGTTTTTTTTTATAAGTATTTTAAGCTAACATTTTGACGTAATTACATATTAAAACCAAGAATAACGTTTTTAATTATTTTGTTATAATTTAAAAATATTATTAGTGGGTAGTTGAAAAAAAAATTTTTTTATTATATTTTTCATGTTTCAACATATTACACGTTATAACAAGTTTTTTAATACAATTAAGAGTTTATTTATTAAGTATGGTAAGGATGATCAGAATTTAATGGATGCGTGTGTTAATTTATTAAGGACTGGAAGCGATGGGGGAAAATTTTAAAGTAGGTATTATATTTTAAGCACACAATGACATTTTCAAATGTAATTTTTTCGACAAAAATGTAGTTAACCTACTCTAATAGAGACCAATGTCTAGTAGTAAAATAAATTGCTTTAATCACAGTAATATCATAAAATATAACATATACTTAGTAATATTATAGGCTGACAGACCGTCTCAGAATCGTTTTTCGTATGCCTACAATTGTATATCATTGAATTCAAATTGAACACATCCATTACAGTGACTCTCTAGATAACCAATGTACATCAGAGCATTATCCGATTTTTTCTCGTAGGTATATCACAAAATAATTTAATATTGTTAACAATATCAGAATTTTTAATTAAGTGTATTCCGACCGTTTTCAAGGAGTTCGATATAGGCAATATTCTAAATTCGTTCGTGCGTGTCGTGTTAATGTGTGCGTAGACTTTGATCATTACTGTGTACCTATGGCTGTGATATCGGAGCACGTGCACGCACATGTCGATAACGGTCTACACGAATATTAATTATTTTGTTTTTTCCCCCTAAAAGTATCAATATTTTTCCAATTTTGCTAACTATAACCTAGTTATGAAACTGAAAACTGGTACAACTTCTGAAAACATGTTATTTGAATCGGTCAGGGTGTTTACTGGGAATCGAATTTCTTACATGTTTAAATTAATAACTGTGTGGTACAATAATACTATTAAAATTTTTAAATTCCTCTCATCTAAAATATAAAAATATGACTTTTAATGGTCTTAGAATACAATTTCGAAAAAGGAAAATAATCATTTCCACATACCAACTTACTTATTGTGAAAAATTCAAATCAATTTTCTTCAAGTTTATCTCGATTATTAGGACAGATGAGATACAATTATTAGCATACAATATATCTGTTTTGTTTGAAAACACAGCCGAAATCGAATCCCTTTTGGGAAACGTGATACTTACACTAAAATAACAATTATTATGAAAAATGTATATTATGATAAAAATTCACACATTTAAGCACCTGTATAAATAAATTAAAAACTTTATATTGAATGAGTATAATTATACGTAATTTATTTAATTAAAAACGAACCAAATACTAATTTTTATATTTAGTTGGTCAATATGTACCTATATG